TCAGTCGCGTTGTACATTTTCGTGAAACTATTCCAAATCCATTGAATTTGAATTCGTTTCACCATGCTGATTGTGAATAACTCGTGTGCAGGCTGTTGACTATGGCGACTGTAGTGAAAATACCTTTCACGACGCAATTAAAATTTACTGCATATTTCATGAATTGCTTCAGTTCACGATATCGGACATATGCTCTGGTCACTGTTCCGCGAATGCAATTTTGAATGAAAATTCGATATGTTGAACTATCTCAGTGATTCCAGAATAATGAACACAATCTTGCAAGCAGCCTTCACGTTCGTCATTCTGGTGTGTTCCACGTCATCAGCATCAAAGCGGACTGGAAACGACATGGCATTCATAACGCCAACAGAAGTTGAGCAAGGCAACGAGACAGTGGCTGATGTTGTGAACGTGACCATAATCAGCACACCGATTATTCTAGATATAGCGCATCCTATCATTTCGGTCGAATCACTCTATGAGAACTCACGTGAAAGAGTGTACAATTGGATGGTGAGGAACGACATTCACATGTAAATTTGATTCGATTTGAAGAAATCAGTTGTTGCTTGCTGTAGTGATTACAGGCACTGCAGCAATGTAATGCGTTTCACTATAAAAGCATTGTAACATTGCATTTTCAGGATGAGCCCAATAACGACATGATGGTAAGATCGGCGTTAATGGGCGCTTTTTCAGCAGTCGTAAGCGTATTTCTGATGTACCTCATCTACTCAATACTGTGTAAGTGTCGTTCTCGAAAACGTCAACGTAAAATAGACACAATCGCCAACGAATTGAATGATCCAAAAAATCCGTTCAGCCTGAAAGATGACGATGGCTCTGATGCAGATCTCATATGATTGGATTATTTCAGTTTTAATCGATTTCTTTTCTGTTTCTCAATGGAGATGAAGCGTTATTCATTGCAATTTACGATTGTATTATGCGATTTGATTATCAGCTGATGTCAAAGATTGGAACACCTATCTCATAGGCTATAAAGACCAAATCCTTTCTCAGAATCGTATGTCTTTATCAACTATTTTTGAGCCGGAAACAAATTCTTTCAATGTTCAGCCCTTTCAAAATCAAACTATCGCATCGCGTACGATGAAAACATTTTGTGAGTCGACCGAAGTATTTCTCATTAAATGTTTCCAAAAAGTGTCCGTTCTTGTGAGAGGCTGGAATTGTTTCGCAATTCTGAGAAAGAGTTGGAAAATATTTGTTGAGCTGAGATTTTAAAATGAAGGGTTATTTTGTTGATTTTCTTATTCTTGATTCTTATTCTTGTTGTACGTTCGTCACATCGTTGCCAATCTTTTGATTTGGTCTATGAATATCAGTGTTGTTCATTTGTTAAGTGTAATATGTTTATTTCAACAATAAATTACTTGTAAAATTCAGTTTTAAACAATGAACAATATTTGAAACTACTTTAAATGGAATTTGAGACTTTTTTTT